TTCCTCGTGTCCACTATCATCTCCTTTGTCTTGTCAGTGTTGAAGGTGAGGTTGTTGTCCTCACACCATGACACCAGACTGGCTACCTCTCTCCTGTTAGCCGCTTCATCCCCTCCAGTGATGCGACCGATCACTGCAGTGTCATCCACAAACACAGGACACAGTCGTGGGTGTACAGAGTCTAGAGGATGTCTAGAGGATGGAACTGAGGACGCAACCTTGTGGAACTCCTGCGTTTGTAATAATGCTGGCTGAAGTCCTGTTGCCGATCCTGACAGATTGGGCCCTGTATTATTTTTGGATCACAAATAATACAGCAGTGCTTCACTGTATGAAAAGTGCACTCAAGAATCTCACATCCTGCTGTTTTGCTGACTTGAAACAGTTTAAAGAAATCCATTTTAATTCAACAAAAAAGGTTTTTTTTTACCTTTTTATTTGACTGGGTGTTCCATAAAGGCCAAATCTAACCGCTAACCAGAAGATCGGTGGTTCGATCCCAGGCTGCTCTAGTCTGCATGCCAAATTAAGGGCAAGATACTAACCTCCTATGCATTGATCGGAGTGTGAATGTGTATGGATGTTCTAGATAGATTTCTTCAGAGACATGAAAATCGCTGCGATTATTCACCATAGCCTGCTGAGTCTTACAGTGAAAGAACGATGTCAACGTATAGCATCGTCAGTTACTTTAATTGTGTTTGGGTTTTTTTTTTTTTTTAAATCAACCTCTCACACACTAACACAAACTCTTTATACAGATACAGAGCTTTACATGTATAAATAAGGCAGACAAAAATGCATAAAACACAAGCTATCCACAGACTGTCGGTGGACGCCATGTCACTTTATTTTGTTTTTATCTTGTTTCTTTTTGGTGTAGCCTCATTAAACAAAATGTTTATAAAAATGACCACTTTTATTATGAATTATTATGAAATTAATAATTCATTATTAATTATTTATTATGAACACACCTGCCACCCTCAAGTAGAGGTGGCAGAGAGGAGGCACTTGGAGTTTCGGTCGAGAAAGTGTCCGTGTGACTGAGTCCTGTCCCAGCTCTGCTTCAAGGTCTGTCGGTCCAGCTTGTTGAGGGCCTGAGAGCAAAGACGGATATCCTGGACCAGCTCTGACAAACTGTCCAGGTCTTGACTCTCCCAGGGGCCAGAGACCTGACAACCTGCAGGTTAAGCAACAAAGAATCATTTTATTTCATATCCATAATTTCCATTTTCCCCCCTATAAATATTTGACATCCAAATGTAGCCTGTTAGCTAGCATTCAGCAATGTTTTCTGCTCCATAAAATGGAAAATTAATTCACAGCTAATTTATTTTTTTTAATCTTTAAACCACACTTCTATATTGTAATGTCTGTGTGTGTATCACCATGTAACACCTCTGTGCATACTTAGAAATGGTCAAAAGGAAACGACTGATAGCAAGAAACAAACTGTTGCCAAGTACAACTTTGCACAGGTGATAAAAACATCAAAGAAATCCAAATTGTGAATTAGTGTGAAACGTCCTAATGTCCATGGAGTATCTCCAAGTTCACACATAGCATACCTTCGAGGTTTAGAAGTGTCAGTGGTCAGAGCAGCACCCTGAGCCTCTCTGCAGACCAGTGGAGGAAGGCAGGCTCAATGAGCTGTGAGGCCAGTCTGAGTGGACAGAGCCCCGTCACTCAAACCCTGGACCCTGACCACTGCTAAGAGTAGAGCTTCAGCAACACTTCCTGTCTGCATGATGTGTTTGATGAAGCTACAGGTTTTGTTTGTTCCTATTTTTCTGCAAACATTTGACTCTCTATTGTTATGCATGCAGATTGTCATCTGTTTATTCACATTGTGTTTTCAAACCATGCTATAAAAAGAAAGTCTGCGGAACAAAATAAAATCCCAGTTCATGAAAAATCACTAACGTTTTATCTTTTGATTCTTTATCTATAAGAATTTATAACTTTTATAAAAAATGCAATTTATTAAGTTTGGAAATAAATACATAAGATCAGTTTCTGTTATTACACTTAAAAAAAGACGTGCTCATGAACTTTTGCTCATATTTAATGATAAATATAAAGGTTGAATCATTATAAACGTAGTTGTATACTTCTTTAGTTTTAGTTTTATTCAGTGCGTTTGTGGTTGATGATTCTTGTGTTAGTGGATTAGTTATTCTCATCACAGTCCAGCACACTGCACCTGCAGCCTTTAACCAGACTGAAGGAGGTTCTTGTACTGCTATAAATCACTGTTTAAACATCCGACTACAACGACAGCCCAAATAGTAACAATCTCCAACATCTTCAGACTGAAACCCACTGATGGTTAAAGTGTACTGAGAACCAGATCTACTGCCACGGAGTTCCTGAAGAGAGACTTGATGCTCCGTATATAAGAAGTTTGGGACTCTCTCCAGTTTTCTGAAGGTACCAACTGAGATCAGCACCAATGTTTGAACTTCCTGTAGCACTGATGGTCACAGTCCCACCAAGACTGACAGACTTGGTTTTATCAGTCTGAGTCAGAAAATTATTGGCAAATGACTCTGAAATGAAGAATAAAATGACAAGTTTGTTTTTTAGACACAAACATAAAAAGAACAAAGAAAATTTCATCAAATATAAAACAGTCTGTGTCTTAAATGTGAGAATCTCTCACCCTGACTCAGAAAGCCTAACAAAAGAACCACCAACATAGGAAACACCATCCTGACTCAGTTTTCAATGAAAGTGTATGAGAGCATGTGTGACAGCAGAACTTAAACTGTGAGGAGAAGTGATGCATGAAAGTGTGCAAAACCCATTTTAGGAGGTCAGCTGAGGAGAGGATCATTCAATCTTTTCATTCTACATGTATTTCAAAAAAGAAACTTATACATAGTGTTTTAAAGCTTTTAAATTGTAAACTTATCTAATATTAGTTTGTTGTTTGAATAATTTAGTCCTGCACAGCTCCTGTAAAACCCTGTGATGAAGGGCTTACTCCACAGAAACCAGGTATTTGATATTTTAAACCATGTACAGGTGAATTGCATCTTTCCAAAAATAAAAGAAATTATTTTGTTTTGTTTTGGGGTTTTTTGTTTGTTTTAGTTTAATTGTTTTTCTGTTTGTTTTTTGTTGCTTAGATTGTTTGTTGGTTGCTCTTTTACCCATGAGCATACTGTTAGGTTAGTCTTCTAACTCCAGTGATGCGGTGAGTTCCCTTCCAATTAAGTCCAAAAAGCTCATTTTAGTCAATTTGTTATATTATGTCCACCAGAGTGTGTTGCAGTTACTTTGATGACAAAACATTCAGTGTGACAGGGATAAAACATTATTACTATTGTGCAGACCAGTCTTGTTAAAAATTGAAAAATTTCACATTACTGGATGCATATTCAAATTATAGCATGGGTCAGTGAGAACACCTGCACCTGTGAAGTCTGGGTGGTGCTTGTTTTAATGAGTTATCATTACCATGGTATTAAATTACAGATTATTACACAGAAAACATCACATGTGTTTCCTGGTAGTCATTGCTATTCTGTAAGTTTGTTATAAAACAGTATTAACGTTGTTATTAATGTGTTAATAAATACAAACCAGCAGTTTTGCATTTTGCAGCTCTGCTTTTTTCTTATTTCTGTTTATTTCCTGCTGAAACTACCAGGAAATGTTTTCAAATAGGTTATTAATATGATATTATATAGAAACAGGCAGCTTTGTATTTTGCATGCTTATTACACAGAAACTACCACAGGTAATTGAGTGGTAATAGTTTAGAAATTAACATATTATTATTTTCTTTTTCTGCCTTATTATCCTACTACTAACACCATTTATCAACAAAAGTGCCCTCGCAAAGTTCTCTATTATATTATATTTATAGTCTCTGCATTGTTGGAGATCAGTCATATGGCTCTCTACTTACATTTTGTTCAGGTCAGCTGACCACAGCTACACACACATACACACAAGCAAAGGCAATTTACTGGAGCTCACAACACAAATTATGATGTGACTTATTTCTAAGTAATTATTTTCCCCACACTGCACCTCAACACCCACTCTTAGGGCTCCCCCTCCTTCAAATTTTCACTTTAATCTCTGGTTGACTCATGTTTGTCAACATAGCACAAACTTTTTGCAATAACCACAAATTCGCTTTATGATATCTTAGGTTTTGTTTGTCGGGGGGAGGGGGAGTGTTCTTAGTTAATGACAAGCACAATGGGTTACATTTATTATTTACAATTAAAACTACCTACTAGATGATTTCAGTTGATTTCTCCTGAATTTGAATTTCTCCTGGTAGAGTGTCAATAGCTTGAAAATGGTGAGGAATTGTATGAAAATGATGTGACATAACACAGTAGTAAAAAACTTGAAACTGGCAGTTGGTTTTTGTTGTTTTTAAATGTCATGATGAACAAACTTGCTATGAATACAAAGGTAAAGAAAATATATTTCATTTGTTCATATGAACGACTACTCTTGCTGTGACTACAGTCAGGAAACCTAACTAAAATTAGTTGTTATGTTTTTATTAAAAACGTAATTGTTTATTTATTTAAATCCTTATGTTAAAATGCCCTTGAATGTGTTTATTGCTCAGTGAAGTTACTGTGAGGTCTGTGTCAGAGTCTCTTCCTCTGCAGTCAGTTCCTGCTGTAACAGCTCAGTGTCTCTGCAGTCTGACTGAGGGAGGTTTTTGTACGACTGCAAATCACTGTGTGAACACCCAAGCA